CTCATCGTTGGTCTGTTCTCCAGGAATATATGCAGAACATGTCCTGCGGCCCAAGAATCTTGGACTTGCACATCAGAGGCAACAGCAACTACAATTTTCTGATCAAAGCTTCCAGAGTGACACAGCTGAAGGCCAAGAGAAAGAAAAAAGCTCTAAGCCGATGGCATTTTCCAGCCCACCCCTAAGACATGCAGTAAGCTCAAGGAGGAGGAACAGTGTAGTGGAAATAGAGTCTAGTCAAGGCCAGAGGGAAAATCCTACAGAAATAGACAAAGTATTGAAAGGAATAGAAAATTCAAGATGGGGAGCATTCAGGTGTGCAGAGCATGGGCAAGACTTCAGCCAGAAGACGATAGTAATCATACACAAAAAAGCACATTCCAGGCAGAAACTTTTTACATGCAGGGAGTGTCACCAGGGCTTTAGAAATGAGTCAGCATTGCTCTTGCACCAGAAGACACACACGGGAGAGAAGTCCTATGTATGCAGTGAGTGTGGGCGAGGCTTCAGCCTCAAGGCAAATCTCCTCAGACACCAGAGGACACACTCAGGAGAGAAGCCTTTTCTGTGCAAGGTGTGTGGACGAGGCTACACCAGTAAGTCATACCTCACTGTGCATGAGAGAACACACACAGGAGAGAAGCCTTATGAATGCCAGGAGTGTGGGCGAAGGTTTAATGATAAGTCCTCATACAACAAGCACTTGAAGGCACATTCAGGGGAGAAGCCTTTTGTGTGCAAGGAGTGTGGGCGAGGCTATACTAATGTCATACTTCATTGTGCACAAGAGAAGACACTCAGGAGAGAAGCCTTACAGATGCCAGGAGTGTGGCCGAGGCTTTAGCAATAAGTCACACCTCATCACACACTAGAGGACACACTCAGGGGAGAAGCCCTTCACGTGCAGGCAGTGTGAGCAAAGTTTTAGCGTGAAAGGAAGTCTCCTCAGACACCAGAGAACACACTCAGGGGAGAAACCTTTCGTTTGTAGAGAATGTGGGCAAGGGTTTATTCAGAAGTCAACCCTCGTGAAACATCAGATCACACACTCAGAGGAGAAGCCTTTTGTGTGCAAGGACTGTGGACGAGGCTTTATCCAAAAGTCAACCTTCACTTTACACCAGAGGACACACTCAGAGGAGAAGCCTTATGGATGTCGGGAGTGTGGGCGAAGGTTTCAGGATAAGTCCTCGTATAACAAGCACCTGAGGGCACACTTGGGAGAGAAACGTTTTTTCTGCAGGGATTGTGGGTGAGGCTTTACCTTGAAGCCAAATCTCACCATACATCAGAGAACACACTCAGGAGAGAAACCCTTCGTGTGCAAGCAGTGTGAGAAAAGTTTTAGTTTGAAGGCAAATCTTCTTAGACATCAGTGGACACACTCAGGGGAAAGGCCATTTAATTGCAAGGATTGTGGGCGAGGCTTCATCCTAAAGTCAACTCTCCTCTTCCACCAGAAGACACACTCGGGGGAGAAGCCTTTCATCTGTAGTGAATGTGGGCAAGGATTTATCTGGAAGTCAAACCTTGTGAAACACCAGCTTGCACATTCTGGCAAGCAGCCTTTTGTATGCAAGGAGTGTGGGCGAGGCTTCAACTGGAAGGGAAATCTCCTCACACACCAGAGGACACACTCAGGGGAGAAGCCCTTCGTGTGTAATGTGTGTGGGCAAGGCTTGAGCTGGAAGAGAAGTCTCACCAGACACCACTGGCGGATACACTCAAAGGAGAAGCCTTTTGTGTGCCAGGAGTGTAAGCGAGGCTATACCAGTAAGTCAGACCTCACTGTACATGAAAGAATACACACAGGAGAGAGGCCTTATGAATGCCAAGAGTGTGGATGAAAGTTTAGCAATAAGTCATACTACAGTAAGCACTTAAAGAGACACACACGTGAGAAGGGTTTTTGTACAGGGAGTGTGGGTGAGGCTTCATCTTGAAGCCATATCTCACCAGCCATCAGAGGACACACACAGGAGAGTAACTTTGCTTTGTTACGAGCTTGAGTTGAGGCTGCATAACTTGTTTGTGAAGATATAACAAAGGCAGACAGAATCCAGAGGGCCACAGAGAACCTGAATTCAACCCATGTGTCCCCAAGAGATTCGGAGAAAAGAGGTCAATGTTTAAGGAACAGAGATGCCAGTTGAGGGGAGGGCATTATCTGGGCTATTGGGGAAATATGGTCTCTTTCTTACTGAGCACATGTTCTTGTATTTGTGCCAGGCTGTGCTTTCTAAGGACTGCTCTTAGCCAGTGACTGCAGAGCAGGGATCCCAAGGGAGGTCTGTTACTGACAATCTCCCCAACCTCCTTGGACTGCAGGCAACCTAGGACACCTCCACCAAACCTCTTCTTGCACTTTCCTTCCCTCTGGTTGCCCTCCCAGCCTTCCTTGGTTTGAATGTTTTGTCCCCTCCTTAATTTATGTTGAAACGCTACATAA